GCCGTCCTGCTGTGCCAGAAAGCCCTGGGCACCTCCCCCCCCCAAAACAAAATCCTGTATGAGAAACAAGGCAGCAGCAATCGGGTGCTGGAGAGCCCCAGGCCACCCCCCCCTGCCTGGGGAACACTGCAGGAGAAAAGGAATGGGATGAGGGCAGTCAGAGGGCGCCTGAGAGCCTCCCCACAGCAAGGCCTCCGGGAGGAGAGAAAAAGGAGTCAAGCAGTGGAAACGTGGCGGTGCCTGAGAGCCCCAAGCTGCCCCCCCGCTTCCACCCCCAAGAAAACCTTGTGGGGGGAGAGAAAAAGGAAGGAGGTGGCAGCAGTCGGGGGTGCTGCAGAACCACCCCCAAAAAATCCAGTGGGGAAAAAGCGAAAGGGGGGCAGAGCAGGGAGCTGCGGAGCCCCAGGCCGCCCCAAGCCGCGCCACTCGGCGGCGCTCACGCGGTCTGCTGCGGCGTGGTGGTGCGGCCGAAGCAGTCGAAGGAGATGCCGAACCAGCGGTAGATGTCGGCGTGCACGGCGTGGTATTTGTCGCAGATCTGCCGCGGCGTCAGCCCCTCCTCCAGCGCCTTGGTCTCGGTGGCCGTGCCGTACTCGTCCGTGCCGCACACGTACAGCGTGTTCCAGTTGCGCAGGCGGCAGAACCTGTGGGAGGCTGCGGGTCGGGGGGCAGCACTGGGCGGAACCTGCCTCACCCCCAGCCAAACCCCTTCACCCCCAGCCAAACCCCTTCACCCCTCACCCCCAGCCAAACCCCCTCACCCCCAGCCCCAGCCAAACCCCCTCACCCCGACCCAAACCCCCTCACCTGGCGAAGGCGTCGGCGCTGAGGACGCAGCCGATGATGTTGCCCAGGTGGGGCACGTTGTTGACGTAGGGCAGGGCGCTGGTGATCAGCACGTTCCTCATGCCCTCCACCGGCAACCTGCGCCACACAGAGCCTTCAGACCACACTGCTGTCACACGAGGGGGACAAGCTGCCCGGCCAGTCTCATCTCTGAGCCGGTGAGCCATGAGTGGGCAGGGGAAAGGCTGCCGTGCGGTCTGTCTATCTGTCTGTCTATCCAGACTTCAGCAAGGCCTCTGACGCCGCCTCCTGCAGCAGCAGCAGCCCGTGGTGAGGACAGGCACGCTCCTGGCCGGTAAGGAACTGGCTGCAGGAATGGCACCCAGACACCCAGTGGCACCCAGTGGCACCCAGACAGTGGTGGTGAATGGAGCCAAACCCAGCTGGTGACCGGCCACCAGTGGTTCCCCAGGGGTCGGCGCTGGGGCTTCCTCTGCAAGGTCTTTTTGATGACCTGCACGAGGGCACTGAGCGCGCCCTCAGCAAGTGTGCAGGCGACACCAAGTTGGCTGGAAGTGTGGATCTGCCTGGGGGTAGCGAGGCCCTGCAGAGGGATCTGGACAGGCTGGATGGCTGGGCTGAAGCCAGTGGGATGAGTTACAACAGGGCCAAGTGTCCCGTCCTGCATTTTGGGCACAACAGCCCCACGCAGCGCTGCAGGCTTGGGCTGAGCGGCTGGACGACTGAAGAGGAAGGGAGCTGGGGGTGCTGGTTGGTGCTCAGCTGAACAGGAGCCAGCGGTGAGCAGGGGGCCAAGAGGGCCAACGGCATCCTGGCCTGCGTTAGAAACAGTTGGGCAGCAGGAGCAGGGGGGGGAAGCGTCCCCTGTGCTCAGCTCTGGTGAGGCCGCACCTCGAGTGCTGTGCCCAGTTTTGGGCCCCTCACTACAGGAAAGACATCGAGGCCCTGCAGCGAGTTCAAAGAGGGGCAACAAAGCTGGTGAGGGGTCTGGAGCACAAGGCTGATGAGGGGTGGCTGAAGGAGCCGGGCTGTTCAGTCTGGAGGAGGCTCAGGAGAGACCTCACTGCTCTCTATAACTGCCTGAAGGGAGGCTGCAGTGAGCTGGGGGTCGGCCTCTGCTCTCATGTAAGAGGACGAGAGGGAATGGCTTCAAGCTGCGCCAGGGGGGATTGAGGCTGGACATCAGGAAATAGCACTTTTCTGGAGCAGCGGCCAGGTGCTGCACAGGGAGGTGCTGGAGTCACCGACCCCAGAGGTGTTCAGGGAACGGCTGGGCTTTGTGTTGAGGGACGTGGTTTAGGGAGAGCTACTGGTTACAGGTGGCTGGTTGGACTGGGTGATCTCCAAAGTCTTTTCTAACCTCGGTGATTCGGTGATTCTGCGGGTCCCCCCCAGCCCCACAGCCGCACTCACACGGGCTTTGGAGGCCTCCAGGGTTTGGGCAGCGCAGCAGCACCGCGATTCCAGGCATCCACAGCCGCTGCCACGTCCTCCTCCGTCAGCGCCTGCTCCGACGCGTCGTCCTGCAGGGGGGATGGCTGAGCGCTGGAGGGGGGCGGGGGGCGCACGGTGCTCCCACCCCAGGCCCGCACCTCGCAGCCTGCGGCCGTGTCCGGCGGTGGGTGCAGCGGGGGCAGCTTCTGCAGGCAGGCCGCAAATTGCTGCAGGCGCTGCGGCAGCAGCACGGTGTCAGCAGCGCTCCTGCACGCCTCCGAGAGCGTCATGCTCCGGAACCAGCTCTGCAGCGGCTCAGCTGTCAGAGAAAGGGGGGACACGAAGCAGCACGATGGCAATCCAGAGACACCTGGTTCACGCCCTCCCCCATAAAATCCTGCAGAAGGGAGAAAGCGGGACCCGCGATCCCGCAGCCCCGCGGCTGCCAGCCCAGCAGCCCTCCGGGAGGCCGGGGAGCGCAGAGGAGCGGCCTCACCCAGCTCTTACCCACGGGCACGGCTTCATCTCGGAGCACAGGGAACAGCGTGCCCCACACCACCACGTCCGCCACCGACTCGGCGTCCTGCAGCATGAAGGAGCGGAGCTGTGCCCCGAGGCGGCCCCGGCCCCACGCCGCACCCCCCACAAACGCACGGGAACGGCCCCCTCACCCCGGCCAGGTACGCCGTGCCTCTCCCGGCCAAGCTCCTCTCGATGTGGCCCAGCGCTCCTCCCAGCGCCGCCGCCGCCTCCGCGCCCGTCCTGCCGTGCACCAGGCGGGCATACAGGGCCGCCAGAGCGGCGGGCTGCGGGAAGACGGGGGGTCACGGCCGGGTCGCACAGCGGCCACCGCCCCGCCCGCCGCCCGGCCCCACCTGCAGCTCGGTGGCCTCCCACTCCAGCCATTGCGCGGTCAGGTCGGTGGGCTGCTCGCCGCGCCGCAGGAAGAAATACCTGCGGGACAGAGGGACGGAGACAGGGAGCGGCGGGGCGGGCGGGCGGACGGAAGGACGGAAGGATGGACGGCCCCGCACTCACTGACAGATGGCGTTGGGGGAGAAGAGCACCGCGCCGCTCTCCAGCCGCAAGGCGGGGGCCCACGGAGGGCACAGCGGGGACGGCGGCGGCTCTGCGGGACGGGGAGCTCGTCAGGGGAGGGCGACCGCGGAGGCCGAGCGGCCCAGGGGAGGCCTCGCCCCCCCCGCCCCCCAACGCGGCCCCGGCGGAAGGCCTCACCTCCGGGCTCGGCCCAGCAGAGCTCTACCGGAGCGGCGGCGCATCGAGCGGCCGCCACCACCTTCAGCGCCGCCGGGCTGCCGGGCGCCACCCGCAGCTGCATGGCCACGAGATGATGAAACCGGAAGCGCACAGCTGGGGCGGCACGCGAGTTCTCGCGGGACGAGCCGTCGTAAGGCGCTCACCTGGCGGAGCTCTCGCGAGATGAGCTCTTGGCACAACTCACTTCCGGCGTTGCCATGGTTACTCACGCGCGGTGTGACGTCATAGGAATGCGCCGCTCTCTGCGGCCGTCCGCGGCGGGGGTGGGGGGTGGGGGGCACTGGGGAGTATGGGGGTGGAACGGGGGTACGGGGGGGAAGGGAGACCCCGCGGGTGGGGGCGATGGGGGCCTCGGGGCGGGGAGCTTCTACGCACCCACCCCACAGTTCAGGAGCTTTCAGGACCTTCCGTTCCCAGAGAAAGGGGGAGGGAGCGGGAAAAGGGAAGAAGAACGAGAAAAAAAGAGTGAGAATGGGTGAGGAAAGGGAAGAAAAGAAAATGCATCGCAGAATCACAGCATCACAGAACTGTAGGGGTTGGAAGGGAGCTGCAGAGCTCATGGAGTCCAACCCCCTGCCAAAGCCGTTCCTACAGCAGGGCGCACAGCTCAGCATCCAGGCAGGTCTGGAACATCTGCAGAGAAGGAGACTCCAAACCTCCCTGGGCAGCCTGTGCCAGTGAGCAGTGGGACCATAGAGACACGTTGGGACCCATAGAGACACGTAGGGACCCATAGAGACACGTTGGGACCCATAGAGACACATCGGGACCCACAGACTCCCCCCTCCCTGCACCCTGTTCCATCGCTCCTCCCCTCACTGCACAGCCGTTCCTTCGCACATTGCTGCACAACTTCCTGTGCTCCATTTCCGGCCGTTTCCCCTCCTCCTGTCTCCACTCCCCACTGCACAGAGTCCATCCTCGCCATGCTGCCCCCACACCTCAGATATTCACAGACCTGGATCAGCTCCCCTCTCAGCCTTCTTTTCTCCAGGCCGAACAGCCCCAGTTCACTCAGCCTTTCCCCATAGCAGAGATGCTCCAGGCCCCTCACCATCTTGGGACTCTTCCCAAGAGCTCCCTGTCTGTTTTGTGCTGGGCAGCCCAGAACTGGACGCAGGGCTGCAGGTGAGGCCTCACAGGGCAGAGCAGAGGGGGAGGATCGCCTCCCTCCACCTGCTGGCCACGCTCTGTGCAATGCAGCCCAGGATGCCGTTGGCCTTTTGGCCACGAGGGCACTGCTGGCTCATGGCCGACCTGTCGTCCCCCAGGACACCCAGGTCCCTCTGCGCACAGCTCCCCTCCAGCAGCTCATCCCCAACCTGTACTGGTGAATAGGTGCAGGAGAGCAGCACAGCAAATTGCCTTCACTGTGTTCCTCTGGCTGACTCATGGCTCGCCTCAGGTGATCACTCAGAGGTTCAGGCTGTGACTTAGCAGTTCCCATATGCACACCTCAACATTTCCTGAATGCCTCCAGGGAATCTGACTGCAGTCCCTCCCTGGGCAGCCCGTCCAGGGCCCAACCACTCTTTTGGAGAAGTTTTTCCTAACGTCCAACCTGAAAGAACTCTTGTTGCTCTCAAGGTTCTTTCGTTTCTTCACAAAGCTGTTTCATCTTCATCTGGCAGGGAGCACGTGAAGGAGCTACGAGATGTGGTTTAGTAGCTTGTGGTACCGATAGGAATGGGAGGGTGGCTGGACTGGATGATCTTGCAGGTCGTTTCCAACCTTGTGATTCTGTGTGATTCTGCGTGAACCTAACGAGATCCAGCCAGGTCAAGTGTAGGGCATTGCACCTGGGTCGGGGCAACCCCAGATATGTGTGCAGGCTGGGAGAAGAACTCAAGGAGGGCGGCCCTGCTGAGAAGGATTTCAGCATCCTGGCAGATGAAAAACTTCACCTGAGCCAGCAGTGAGAGCTGGGCTCGTTCAGTCTGGAGAAGAGAATGCTCTGGGGAAACCTGATGAGGCCTTCCAGTAATTAAATGGGAACTTATAAGCAGGAGGGAAGGGTGGTGCTACAAAGACTATAAACTATAAAGACTAGAATGTCTTGAACCTCAACAAAAGAATTTCAAAAGTCAGATGGACTCTGTTACAGAAGCTTGTTACGTGAGAGCAAATCTGACAGCAGGAAAATCAAAACCCTTTCGTGGTGACTTTGGTAAATAACGTGCAGCAAACACAACAGGCATAATGTGTCCTGATTAAAAAACAAACAGGAAAGGACAGGTGCCTGTGTCAGATGTCCGTGGCAGCAGAGGATCTTCCAGAAGAAGGAGGCAGCAGAACCTTATGCTCACACTGCAGTACAGGAGCAGAAAACTACCGGGAAGCTCTGGGTTCCTCCCAGGAAGGCAAAACTGCACAGAGATGCTCCAGCTGGGTTTGGCAGTGCCCTCCCACCCTCAGATTTCCTGCACACAGCTTCACGCCGCTCCCCTTCACCCTGTCCTACCTCAGAGACCCAAGGAGCACGGATTTGGTACAAAGCACAGCAGTGTGGCGTTAAAATGCAAGTTGTGTTTTCATTGTCAGGGGTATTACAGCCCAGAGCTTGGAGCACTGCCTCCAAAAACCGTGCCAGGATGGCGG